CCTTTAGGAACCCAGAATAGAAGTATGCCACCAACTTTGTGGTTTCTGGGCCACTTCCGGTTAAGTGTCAGTGTTAGACGAGGTGCCGAGGACGTCTCTGTGCTCCTTTTCTACTCACAGGGAGGCATTTGTTCTTTAACATGTGCTTTGCTTTCCATAGAGAGAATCCTTTTTCTGCCAGCCACTTTCTTTCCAAAGCTTAGAACACCATATACTCTTAAGAAGGAAGGAAGGGTTTCAACAAGGAAAAGAAAAGTTTTCGGTTGCCTCACCCCTTTGCAGTTCAAATATCCTTCAAAACATCTGCTTTTATTTTATTTGTTTGCCTTTTGGAGAAAATCAAGGGTAAATTTGAGATAAATAAGAAGCAAAATGTCTTCCCGAAACAAACAAAAAAGCCCCAGTACCTGGCCATCTGAAAAGATTTCATTTGTTTGTTTAAAACATTGTTGGAGTGATAGAAAATCTGGACAAACACCCATGATTAAGATGCAGTTAATAAAAACCAAAAGTTCAGAGATTATTACATACTGTAAGAGAGTAGTTCCTTCCTGTGGACTCTGATGTTTTTGGAAAACCAAGTGCTTGCTGGGGAGGCAATTAACAAGATCATAACAAAGTTTCCACAGAAGACTAGCAAAGCCTGGAGTTTATGCTGGATCTCAGCCTCTAGGGAGAACGAACAGCCAAAAGAGAGGGAAAAAACCCATCTCTGTGGACAAATTAAGCACTGGTGGGCATTCACGTGCACAGGTGGGCAGCAGCCCCTTAAGTCAAACGCGCTGTGATGGGATCCGAGCCCTTTTCCACAAACGCAGCTGTGCTGAACAATATCATTCCACCATCTGAATCTGTTTTCATTTTTTTGGCTGCATTGGGTCTTTGTTGCTGCTCGCAGGCTTTCCCTAGTTGCTGGGGGTGGGGGGCTTCTCATTTCAGTGGCTTCTCTTGTTGTGGAGCACAGGCTCTAGGCTCAGGGGCTTCAGTAGTTGTGGCACACGAGCTCATTAGTTGCGGCTCGTGGGCTCTAGAGCGCAGGCTTAGTAGTTGTGGGGCACGGGCTTAGTTGCTCCACGGCACGTGGGATCTTACCAGACCAGGGATCGAACCCATGTCCCCTGCATGGCAGGTAGATTCTTAACCACTGCACCACCAGGGAAGTCCCCCACCATCTGAATCTTATTAGGTATTTTCGTATTTGCTTAGTTTTTTTTTTTTTAATGGTTCTTTTTTTGCATGTGGTAAAATTTACATGTAACGAAATACCCATCTTAAGTGTACATTCCCTGAGTTCCGGCAAATGCAAACACCTATGTACCTCAAACCGTTATCAGGACGTACAGCATTGCCATCACCCAGAGGCAACTGCTGTTCTGACTTTGCAAATTAGTTTTCCCTGATGGGGGATGTCATATAAATGGAATACAAGTAGTTTTTTTGGGTAAGACTTCTTTGACTCAGCAAAATGTTTTCATTTATTATCACCCTCATTGCATATATCAGTAGCTCATTCCTCTTTATTGCTGATTGGTATTCCATTAGAAGAGTATTCTATAATCTGGGTGTTTTGTTTTGTTGTTGTTACCTATTTTCCTATTTGATGGACCCTTGGTTATTTACAGTTTTTGTCCAAAAAAGTTGCTAATCATATTCTTGTACAAGTCCTTTTGTGGGTATAAGTTTTCATTTCTCTTGAGTTAATGTCTATGAATGCAATTGCTGAGTCCTAAGGGAGGTAAATGTTCGGCTTTACAAGAAACTGCCAGGTTTTTTTCTGAGATGGTTGGACCACTTTACACCTCCACTATCAACATATGAGAGCACATGGGCTTCCCTGGTGGCGCAGTGGCTAAAAATCCACCTGCCAATGCAGGGAACATGGGTTCTAGCCCTGGTCCGGGAAGATCCCACATGCCACGGAGCAACTAAGCCCGTGCACCACCAACTACTGAGCCTGCACTCTAGAGCCCGTGAGCCACAACTACTGAGCTGGCGTGCTGCAACAACTGAAGCCCGCGCACCTAGAGCCTGTGCTTTGCAACAAGGGAAGCCACCGCAGTGAGAAGCCCGCGCACCACAACGAAGAGTAGGCCCGGCTCGATGCTTTAGAGAAAGCCCACACACAGCAACGAAGACCCAATGCAACCAAAAATAAGTAAATAAATAAAATTAAATTAAAATTGAAAAACAAACAAAAACATATGAGAGCCCATCCTTGCTGACTTTAGATGTTATCAGTAGTGTCTCATTTTAGTTTTAATTTGCATTTCTCTCATGACTAGTGACATTGAGCCCTTCTTCATGTGCTTATGGGCCATTTGTGCATCTTCCTTTGTGAAGTGACTGTTCAAATCTTTTGCCCATTTTTATAAAGCGGGTTGTCTCTTTATTATTGAGCTGCAGGTATTCTTTATATATCTTCATGTCAGAGGATGGAGGGAACACATAGTGCCCACTGAACTAAGAAGGCATCTCGAGACTGAAAAAAATGAGGCAGGCAACTCCATATAATCAATGGATCAGTTTATTATGGGTTAACTTACTCACAGGATGGGATCAGGATTGTGTCCACAACAATCCAGAAGCATTCACAGCTGTACTCCGTGCCACCGAGGGGCCATTGGGACAATTTTATATTAACCTAGAGTATGGGGGTAGGTACTTGGAAGCAGGACGTGCCTTTCTATGTCAAGACTTACGAACGGGTAATGAATTTCGTGGGCATCAGGAATACGTCAGTGAAGGTTTTCGTCACTGGGGACTAACAGGGCATAGAGGAGAGGTCACCAGGTTCTAATGATTATTAAACAATATGTATTAACTACAAAGCCCTCGATGACAGAGAAGTGATTCACTTTACATTACAGTCCCTGGCAGGGTCAGCAGAAGAGCAGGAGAGACTGTTAACGGCCCAAGATGGCTTCAGTTATGCTAACAGCCATACACTTCATACAGTAGAGAGATATATGTCTGAGACCCACACTCTCCTCTGAGGGGCCCAGTTACTTGATCTTTTTGTCTGTATTTCCCCCTAAAATGTTGCCAGGAATTCTGCTTTGTTTAGTACTATATTTCCAGTGCCTAGTATGGCCCCTGGCACTTAGTAGGAGCTCATTTACATAAACATTTACTGAAAGAATCAATGAATGAACGGATGAACTGACTTGTGGGCCTGATATCCACACACAGTGTTCTTGAATTTAATGGCAGTGATTAACAAGGAAATGGAGAGAAAGAAATTTTTAATGTTTTCCTTGAGCCATAAAGTGTACTTGGCACAAAAGACCCAGGATACCTTCAGGGGATTTATTCACTCAGGGAAAAGATGGCTAGAATATCTCATGGACTAGCCTCATTTGTCCCCCTTTATGAATCCTCTCGTGCAAGCCACCCCTGCTGTCTACTGTCCCGACCCCTTCCAAGTCTTGGGTTCTGACCAGGTTTGTTTGATGGATGATCAGAGCGTCTAGCCTTGGAGAGTTTTAGGTAACTTAACCCAGCCGATCCCAGCTTTCAACACCTACCTCTTGGTTCCCGCTGACACTGATAATGCTGTTCCCTGCCAGCTGGCCCCTTAGTTGGGCTCTGTGCCTCACTAGCAGGCCCACCCCATGGGTGTGCACTGCCTTTCTGAGCCCCCAAGGGCCAGCAGGGGGCTCCTTCCTCCTTGGTCTTGAAGTGGATTTCCTGGTGCTAATCCAGATGGCTCTCCTGCTGCAGCTGTACACTGAATAATCATTGTCAGCGTCCACATTTGTAGGGAACTTGGCCATTTACAGAGCATGTTCCCATCCATTATCTATATAAGCCTCCAAACAGTCCTATTTGTATTCCCCTTGATTTTTTTTTTCCCAAAGGAAAGGCATAAAGAGGTGATTTAATTTGCTCCAGAATGTAAGAGTTGCCCTCATGTGACCCAGAGTTTTCTAAGACTGTCTGGGTCTTGCTCAAAGAATATTGGAGCTTTTTTTTTTTTTTTAGCTCTGGTGGGTATACATGTACAGTGTTTAAAAGGCTTTCTATATTTTTACAGTTCAGCAACTTGGATTACATCTGTCATTAAACATTTAATTACCATACCAAAGACACACATGGGCAGTTCTTAACCTTTTTATTTTTATTTAACCATCATTATGGTTTCCCCTGACCCACCCCCTTCCCCTTTGGATCACATCTTCACATATTGTTTTTTTAAATGTCCACCACAAACTGTATTTATTGACTCATTTTACCTTTTTTTATTCATCAGACATGTACCTTCCTGTCAGAGTTTAGGGTCAAGCTCAGATAATCTGTGCCCTCATGGGGCTGATTTTATTACAGCCAAAATAAATACATTCGAGATTTGAGTTAACCTCCAAGACTAATAACTGGTACATTTCCATTTCTTCAGGCCTTTATGAAAGATTAAAAAGTTCATACACTGACCCTTGGGAAAGTGGAAGCAGATTTTAGTACTTGTGAAAAAGGAGTCCTATTTCGGGGATAAACTCTCAAGTTGCTGACGTCTATGTCTGGGTGGGAACAGGAGGGGTATAATGGCCTCTAACTCTTCGTTCTGTGATTGGAGCCTCTCCCAGCTCTCTAGAGAGGAGCTCAACCAGCCTCACCCTATTATTTCCTCAGCGGCTGGAGTATTTGGGCTATTTTCAGTTCATGCCCGTGGGACTTGGGAAGAACATGCATTTACTGAAACAGAGACATTCCCCTAACCATTACCTAAAGGTACACATTTTAATATGTCATGGAACCAGAACTTTTACATTGCATCAATAATTGCCTCATTCAAATTATACTTTCAAAGGGCAGTGATGGGTATGCTAAAGGCAGTGTCTGTTTCTAAATTAGTAGAGTTAATTAATGTTACTCTGTGTGCCCATTATAAAAAAAGGAGTTTCTGTTAGGGAAGACTATTTATGTAATCTGTTATTTTATTATATGTATACATATGAGATTTATTATTTTATTAATTGAATATTGTGCTTGCTCTTGTTTTGTAGGAGACCCAGCAGAAATCCACCAATGTTGTGTATCAGGCGCATCATGTGAGCAGGAATAAGAGAGGGCAGGTGGTTGGAACAAGGGGTGGATTCCGAGGATGTACCGTGTGGCTGACAGGTATGCTGTGTTGAGATCTATATATTTTTTAATGGAAAACTGATGGTGACACACAATTTTTAGGAAGATAGTGTCACTACATATTACATGTGTATTTCAACGTTAGAAGGAGACTGAGAGCTGTGATAGAAGCTTGGGTGTTAGTCCTAACTCTACCCATCAGTGAGAAATAGGACTTCCATCAAGTCATGGAATGTCTCTAGTTCTCTGTTTTCACCTCTTTGGCAGGAAAGGATGGGACAAGTTGATTATGACATTCCCATTCAGCTCTAAGGAATTCTGTAGTTCTTAATTTCATGCCTAAACACATTTACTGGCAGTTATGAACGGGGCTCTCCTAATTTGACATCAAGCATTTGGCTGTCCATTAGAGATATTCTTTATTCTTTTCTGATGTTTTAATATTCTAGGGGGCTATTTTACTTATTTTAAAAAATTAAAATCTGTGCAAGAAGCAAAACTAATGTTTTCTGCATAGCTGAGTATTGTCCCTTGTGTATAAAAAAAGAACTCATTCCCACCGAGGTGACCAAATGAATCTCCCTTTTCTTGTGTTTATATAGCCCCAGAATGTCAAAGCTGAGGGTTAGTGACAGAACTGGAATTAGTCCTCGGCTGTTACCTTATACTCTGAGTACAAGGTAGAGGAAGTTGATTCCTGGGAATGCAGGTCCGACATAGGCTGGACTCAAAAGAAAAAAACAGGTTCATTTCGTAGACATAATATTTCATATGGAGATGAACTCAGATGCAAAGATATGTTTATCCAGGTTATGAAATCAACTCATGTGTTACTGTTTGCTCACAAATGCTGATTTATTCTAACCTGAAGATAGTTCTAGAAAACACAACAAGCGAGGACCTGCCTTGCGTCTTTTCTTGCTATTCTGAGTCTTTCCTATTCCTGTCTAAAGCAGCCTCATTCTTCTCTTTCAAGTTATTTCCTAGTGCCTGTGGCACTTGCCCTTGGTTTCCGGGTTTCATTCATCCCTGGAAGAACAACTTTCCCTGCTTCCAGGGTGAGGCTGGACAGAGGGCAAGGAGGCTGCTGTGTTCTAGAAGGCAGATTCACCTGCTGCAATTCCTGATATGTTTCCCCCGCTCCCTCTGAGAGACGTGACGTGCAGCAGTGAATAAAACAGCGTGCTCCAGACGTTTCCCTCTTGCTATGTGTTTGCCTTCATGAGATGTTTTGCCTTCATGTGTTTGTCCAAATTTTGAATCAGGACATACCCACAGAGTCCATTTTTCTTTCTTTTTTGTTGAGGTACGCGGGCCTCTCACTGTTGTGGCCTCTCCCGTTGCGGAGCACAGGCTCCGGACGCGCAGGCTCAGCCGCCATGGCTCACGGGCCCAGCCGCTCCGTGGCATGTGGGAACTTCCCAGACCGGGGCACGAACCCGTGTCCCCTGCATTGGCAGGCGGACTGTCAACCACTGCGCCACCAGGGAAGCCCAAGTCCATTTTTCTTAATGTAAAACACCCCTGGAAAGACAAAAAGAACAGGTAGAAGAGAAAAAAAAAACTCAAGGGTATACTTCCTGTCTTTTCTTACTCTCAAAAAGTCATCTTTTCCTAGTTTATTTTTTTATTCTCATATTACAGACATTGGATATTGACCAGGCAAATCAGGAGAAACCAAATACTTGAAATCTAGAGAGTTGGAGTTGGGTACCGGCTTCACCTACATTAGCTGTGTGATTTTGGACAAGCCAACCAACCTCTCTAAGCCTCGGTTCCCTTATTTGTAAAATGAGAATAAAGATAATACCTGCCTCATACAGGTATAGGTAGAACAAAATGAAATAAAGCATATATGCACTTAGCACAAGTCCTGGTCCCTAGTAAAACTCTCAGTAAATGTAATTGGTGTTACTTAAATGTATTAAAATAAATATTCCAATGATCTATTTTAATACAGCTAACTGTGTTAGAAATTTCTATTGTTTCTCTCATTTTCTGATGCAAGAGAACGTACCAGAGATTCAGGAGTCCCATTTCTCCTACCCCACAAGTGGACATAACTTTTAAGAGGAATTTATCACATGAATTTCTATCCAAATGCAACTGAATTACATAAAGATGTAATAGACAATGCCTTGATTTACAAAGATTGCCAACACATTCTTCACGTAGCAGTTTCTTCTAATGGTCCTCTGTCAAAGCCAAGGGCGTGACTTTAAAACATAACTAAAAATATGGAAAATACTTGTTTACCTTTCATATATCACCTTTCTTTCCAAGTCTCTCTGTCCTGCATCCCTTCTTTACTCTTACTTTTTCTTTTTCCTCTTTCCCCCTGCTGTCTTCTCTGTATTAACAATTTCTTGACTTTCTTTTCTGCCCCCGTCCTGACTTTTCCTCTTCCGGGTGCTGTCTGACAGTGGCTTGGCATCACTGCATTTTTCTTCAGGTTCAGAGATCTTTAGAACAACTGAATTTTTAGAGGGCTCCTTTTCCAGGGTGGTTCAGATTTTGAGCTCTTAAGTAATTTTGGCAGGTAGCATTTCATTCCCTTTCTGCTTACATTCTCCCTCATGTAGAAATTATAGTGTGTGTTCCCAATCACTGTGCTTTGAAACCATGGTAAAAGGCACCTTGTAACTCCACTCTCATGTAAAGACTCCAGACGCCTAAGAGTATATGGCACCTCTAACTACATCTACAGCGTAGCTCAGGGTGGTTCTCTGTCTTTGTGTTTTGAGAATCATTTTGGAAAATCTTGAAAACAAAAGGACAGTATGTTGGTTCTCTTGTCAGATGGGTGCTTAGCAGCATCTGCAAGGGAGGTGGGCCTCCCAGTCTCCAAGGGCTGGCTGTCCCTGCATTCCAGCTGATTGCTCTCATAAGGGGATATGAGGACACCACTGCCAGAGCCTCTGATTTTCTTTCCAGAGAAGCCATAATCTGAATTTGTGTGCACAACTTTCTAGTCTATAAAATACACTGCGGGCAAAGTGTTACCAACTCAGGTCCTTGGACTCCTTAATCAATAGAAATTGATAAGAGGCCAGACAAGGAATTCAGGCAAGGCTTTATTGAGGTCCCTGCTGCAGCAGGGGGGAGCGAAAACAAGAAACAATTGCCCTTGCTCACTCCTGAGGTGGGGCGAACCGGTTCCTTAAATGGGATGCGAGTAGGGGCAGATGGGTGGTCAGGCTGGAGTGGTGGCTTAGGTGGTCAGCTGACCCTCTTGGTGGTGCCGTGTGCAGGAATCATGCGCAGTACCCTGCTTTTGCTCCCTGCACCTCAGAAATGGCAGCTGGTTTCTGGCCTTTTTGTATCTTACTGTTTATAATTTGCCCCAACTGTGGCCGCGTGCAGGTATTTTTAGTCCCTTATAGTTTCTTTGTTTTCTGTTGCTCCAGGAGACGTTTGTCCAGGTGCAAGCACTGTGGTAAAGGGTCCCAGGTCCCAGCCCATCCCAAAAGCAGAACACACCAAGGACCATATGTAGCCTGCCAAGGTCTCCCTATTGACGAACGCCTTTTGCTTTGAAAGGCTATAATCCTAACAAGGGACAAATAGTTTTTTCAAGATTTGAAAGAAATGCTAGTACTTGACTTGTAGTAAACTTTGCTTTTTCTAGATTTGAATGGTTTTGATTTGAGGGCAATCCAGTGATTGTAATGAGGGTTTAATTATGCTTGAATTAGGTAAAAATTAGGATCAGTTCACAATTCGGATCAGAGCACAATTTATAATCTTAAACAGTCAGAGACAGTGCCTGTCCTGTCTTGCCCATTCTGAACAGGTCTCTCTGGTGCTGGAAAAACAACGATCAGTTTTGCTCTGGAGGAGAATCTCGTCTCCCACGCCATCCCTTGCTACTCCCTCGATGGGGACAACGTCCGTCATGGCCTCAACAAAAACCTTGGATTCTCTCCTTGGGACAGAGAAGAAAACATCCGCAGGATTGCTGAGGTGGCCAGGCTCTTTGCCGACGCTGGTCTGGTCTGCATTACCAGCTTCATTTCTCCTTTTGCAAAGGTAAAATGCTTTGGCGACGCTGCTCTGGTCTGCATTACCAGCTTCATTTCTCCTTTTGCAAAGGTAAAATGCTTTGGCAGTGCACACGATTGCCACACATAGCACCAGTGCTCTCAAGCTGCCAGGATGAGGACCCAGCGGAGGGGAGGACAGAGGAATGTCATACTTCCAGTCTCCCCCACTGGCTCTCCTTCCCCCACTTGCTCCCTCATTTCCTCTCTTTAATATTGGTTACATAAAGAGAGTCCCTTCATTTCCAGATGCCAGGGCACCAGGTGACATAAACCCTTCCACTTTCACAATGGTAAGGTACACTTGGCCAGAGTTGAAAGGAAGAGAAAGTTAAACCAGAAAAATTCCAAAGCTCAGTAATTTTATTGGGTTCCTTCGGGTTTTAACCAAAAAGCCCGAACGAACATTTTGGCCAAGCCAGTATTTCTCCAAAAAGTCAGAGGCCTTAGCTTACTAAAGAAAACAGTAGTTCATCGCCAATGCATCAGGTTATGTGTGTTTAACGTTGAAATCAACAAGGTGGAGTGTTACTCCTCTTGTTTTAAAACAGGAAATTTCTGTGAATTACATATAAGACACTATGTACTTTGAACACATCCTTTGAACGAAATGCTGTCATATTGCCAGCCCTGTCTTTTAGTTGGGATTCTTTCCCATTTTTGTTTGTTTGTTTGCTTTTTTTTTTTTTTTTTTTTTGGAAAGTACTTGGGAGATTTGTTTACTAGCGTGAAATTTCTGGAGTTTCTCTAAAGGGCTAGTTTCCTGACACCTCTGAAGAGCTCAAACCCCAGTGTTATCTTAAGGTCATAGAACACCAGAGCACACAGTATTTTGTGATGAAGAATTTCACTATGAAACCTCTTCTTACATTCTTTTTTTTTTTGGCCAAGTTTTTTTGTTTTTAATTTATTTTTGGCTGCGTTGGGTCTTCGTTACTGCACGTGGGTTTTCACTAGTTGCAGTGAGCGGGGGCTACTCTTTGTTGTGGTGCACGGGCTTCTCATTGTGGTGGCTTCTCTTGTTGGGAGCACGGGCTCTAGGCACGCGGGCTTCAGTAGTTGTGGCACGTGGGCTCAATAGTTGTGGCTCATGGACTCTAGGGCACAGGCTCAGTAGTTGTGGCGCACGGGCTTAGTTGCTCTGCGGCATGTGGAGTCTTCCCGGACCAGGGCTCGAACCTGTGTCCCCTGCATTGGCAGGCGGATTCTTAACCACTGCACCACCAGGGAAGTCCCTCTTCTTACATTCTTAAAGGTAATTATTTTCCAGGATCGTGAGAATGCCCGCAAAATCCATGAATCTGCAGGACTGCCATTCTTTGAGATATTTGTAGATGCGCCTCTAAACATTTGTGAAAGCAGAGATGTAAAAGGTCTCTACAAACGGGCCCGAGCTGGGGAGATCAAAGGTAGGAGAGCCAGTTCAGCGGTATCTTTGCCCCTTACTTATGCCACCATTTCTTATTAGTCTGTGCCCAGATATCTGTCTGAAGTTTCAAAAACCGTTTTCCAAAATTGCATATAGTGCACACAACTTTTTATCAAACCGTAATATCTTCAAAATGTCTGTGGGCTAGTTAAAACGTGGGCTTGTATTTTTCAAGAACTATCACCCCAGCCACAAGCAATCAAGTTTAGAGAACTAAAATGGATATGTGTATGTGCATGTGTGTAGCAGGAACCTCTCAGTTTTCCTCCGACTTGTTTTCCTTTTCCATTCTAATCAGCTGCAGAGGGCTTGGACTCAGACAGATTTTGTTGATAATCGGGACTTTCTGTATTGAAACCACAGCTGTATATGTTCTTATCTATGGCTAGAGGGCAAGGATAGCTGTTTGACCTTTTCTGTTTTAATCTGAATACAGCAGTTGAAAACATTATTGCAACATGTGTTATGTCTTATTGAGTAAAAAGATTGTTCTGTTGGTGCAGATGTGATTTTCAGCCTTCTGCCTTGCAGGGTTTACGGGTATTGATTCCGATTATGAGAAACCTGAAACTCCTGAGCTTGTGCTTAAAACCAACTTGTCCTCGGTGAGCGACTGTGTGCAGCAGGTGGTGGAACTTCTACAGGAGCAGGTGGGCGGACTGAACGTCTTTTTTAATAGTTTTATACAGTCATAAAAGATCATCTGTTTACTGAAGTGTTCTTTTTATAGTTTTCATTCCAAACTGTTACCAAGTCTGCTTCATTTCAGAACATTGTACCCCACACTATAATCAAAGGCATCCACGAACTGTTTGTGCCAGAAAACAAACTCGACCAAGTCCGAGCTGAGGCCGAAGTGCTCCCTTCGTTATCAATTACCAAGGTAAGGTGGTGCCCACTGGCTAATGGAGACTTAGGCTTAATGTCAGTCATTATAATCCATTTACAATTACTCTTAATTAATTAGGAAGGTAGACATAAGGAAAATGCAATGCCTATAAAGAAAAACACTTCATTTTGCCAATTTTTTTTTTACCTCTTCTTCAAGAAAATCTCTCATCAAGTGTTGCCCCAGGCAGCTGATCAATGCCATGTACAGAGGCAGACTGGGAACATAACTTCTGTATTTGCAGAGGACAGTTTTATATGGTTGTCATTATACCTTTAGTTATGCCGGCGCTCAAGCATTAGGCAGTAATTATTTGTTGGCAGTTGCTGAGAAAATAGTTTGTCCAGAATACAGGTGTTTCTTGGACCATTGAGAAGGAATTTGAAGAAAACAAGAAGCAACCCTGATCTAAAGTGACATGAATGCCTTGATCTTTTTTCTACTCTGCACATCCCACTCTTCCCTCATCAGGGAGAGTTCAGTCTGAGGAGAGGGAGCTTTGGTTGCATTGATTTTGCAACCTAGACGATGTTAAGATGCAATCCCAGCAAACAGCCCTGCAGATACCTTGGCCTGTTTACTGGTTAGTGTTAGTTGGTTCATATAAGGTGATCAAGTCTTCACTGGTAACCTTTTGGTATCCATTAAAACCTTGGGCATTTTTTTTTTTTTTTTTGCGGTACACGGGCCTCTCACTGTTGTGGCCTCTCCCGTTGCGGAGCACAGGCTCCGGATGCGCAGGCTCAGTGGCTATGGCTCACGGGCCCAGCTGCTCCGCGGCATGTGGGATCTTCCTGGACCGGGGCACGAACCCGTGTCTCCTGCATCGGCAGGCGGACTCTTAACCACTGCACCACCAGGGAAGCCCTGGACATTTTTTTAAGAGGCAGAGTACATTGGGAATGTCCTTCAGCTCATGAAGACCCCAGGCTTTAGTAAGTCATGACGAATTTATAAACACAAAAAATTCTGAGTTTTCCAATGCTCCAGGCAGGTGAGAAACACATAATCATAATTACAGTGCGGAATAATAGTTCCAATAACAAAATGGTCTGCAAGGTACAGAAGAACTTCAAAGAATCTAATGATTAATTCTCTCGATCCTAGAGGTGACAGGAAAGATTTCAGAGCAGTGGCCCATGAGCTGGGTTTTATTTTTATTTATATCTATTTATTTATTTTGGGGGGGTTTATTTTTTTATTTTTATTTTTTGAACTGTGTTTTAAATGATGAACAGGGTTTTCAGGTAGAGGGGAGGATGGGCTTGAAACCACGTGTGTGTTCAGACTGCACACTGTCTGGCACTGTTGGTGACTAGGCCCCCAGGTGGGGAGTGGTGCCAGGTGGACATCCCTACATGAGCCCCTGGGGACAGAGCTCGAAGGCCTGTCAGTATCACGCTAAGAATTTTAGACATTTGTCTTTTTTTAAAAAAATTAATTTATTTATTGTTTATTTTTGGCTGCATTGGGTCTTTGTTGCTGCACGCGAGTTTTCTCTAGTTGCGGTGAGCGGGGGCTACTCTTTATTGGGGTGCGCGAGCTTCTCATTGCGGTGGCTTCTCCTGTTGCGGAGCACGGGCTCTAGGCGCGCAGGCTTCAGTAGTTGTGGCATGCGGGCTCACTAGTTGTGGCTCGCGGGCTCTAGGGCGCAGGCTTCAGTAGTTGTGGCACGTGGGCTCAGTAGTTGTGGTGCATGGGCTTAGTTGCTCTGCAGCATGTGGGATCTTCCCGGACCAGGGCGCGAGCCTGTGTCCCCTGCATTCACAGGCGGATCTTAACCTCTGTGCCACCAGGGAAGTCCCTGGACATTTATCTTAGTGTCAATGGTTTGCTCAGTTCAGTCAAATAACTAGCACATTTGGTGAAAAAAATGTAGCGAAACCAGAATTTTTGTGGGAAAAAGAATGAACAGTGAATCTTCAACACAGGTGCATATTGTAAGGATAGATAGAACCTAAAGTGTTCAAAGAAATCATCCCAGTTTGAAATCTTTTCACCACTCTCCCACAGAAAGTTCTAGACTCAAACTTCTCCAGCCCCCCTAGATCATGGGTCAGCATTACATATGGGAACGCTTAAATCATAAAAGGTTCTGCCTTCATTCTCCTGTCAATTGAATAAGAAAGGACTGCCCTGGGGCCAGATGGCTGGAAAACGGAGCTTATGGAAATGTTCACCTGCTTTTTTGTGTTTTGCAGCTGGATCTTCAGTGGGTCCAAGTTTTGAGTGAAGGCTGGGCCACTCCCCTCAAAGGTTTTATGCGGGAAAAGGAGTACTTGCAGGTTATACACTTTGGCACCCTGCTAGACGGTATGGGTTTTTGTTCTTTCGTTTGTTTGTTACTCTTTATTATTAAAGAAAAAAATATTTCTCAGAAGTTTTCACAGGAACAAGAAATGCTAATCCTTGGTTTGTAAATCCTATTGTGAAAATATTTAGATTATTTATGGTGTGTCCAGTTATGTATAAGCTTCCATTTTTAGGATTTTTTTTGGTTATCCTCAAAGGATTATTGATTATCTAAAACTAAGGAACCAAAAAATAAAGGTTTGACTTGCACACAAAGCCAAGAGAAGGTTAAGTCTTTTTCACCTCCACCTGCCCTTTGCTGGCCGTGATATTCATAAGGCAGTGGACAGTCAGAAGCACCATTGGCAGCTGCTTGGACCATCCTGGGGAAGCCAGGATGGACTCGGCACTCATTGCTGACTTGCAGGATGCCTCCCATCCTCCAGCAAACGTTCTTGCAGCAGCTGCTCTCCTTGGTGGATAATAAAGGGTTGATATTCATGCCCATACATGAAATATATTAGGATGGCTTCATCCACTAAACTTTAATACGGGGTGTTAAGGCAGCTTTCTGGGCAGAAGCTGAATGGCTCTTAGAGAACTGCTCCTGTCAAGGTTGGAATGATGTCTCATTCAGAAAACTTCCGGATCCTTCTCTGATCATTTCCTTCCTAGAACTGTCTTGACCTTATCAAATAGAACTTATTTATTTCAAGATCTTGGGGAATAGCTGATAAGTGGGGGAAGGAATTTGTAATACGGAGCAGGGCTCCAAACCTTCTAGGAAGAAAAATCAAATCAGATGTTCTTTCCTGAGAAAGATGTTCATGTTCTAGGTTTGTGCCTCTGCCTGGGGAATGGGGCGTAAAGCAACCCCAGTTGTAGTTAGGTTTCAAAACTCCCCATACCTTCAAGAAGCCTCCTTAATTCCTATGTAAGTCAATTACTAAAAATACATACCAGGGATGTAATATGCTGCCCACCTCTACCTAAGTAGAGGCAGAATATCATAGTGGATAAGAGTGAGCTGTGGAGCCAGACTATCTGGGTTCAGGGCAAATTACTTAAACTCTCTGGGCCTCAGTTTCCTCATCTGTAAAATAGGGATGTTAATAATAGTACCTACCTCAATGGGATGTTGAATGTTTAAAAGAATAAAGTACCTGGTCCAATAGTAAATGTTCCATATATTAACAACCCCCTCACTGCATAAAATTAAAAGGACTTCAAAGTCTTGAACAGACCAAGAAGCTTATCTCTAGTCACATCCGTTTGGAAGTAGCACAGATAAGATGTTCATCAGCTAGTCAATAAATATTTATTGAGTGTCCTCGGATGTCAGGGTTTGTTCTAGCTGCTGGAGATAATACGAGCTTGCTGGGACAGGCAGTGCAGTTCATCTTCTGAACTCTAGTCCAGAGGGGTTTTCCCGCCACATCAGTGGTTGTGAAACTTTTTTTTTTCAAGTCATAACTATTTCAGTGAAATCTGAGGCAATATATACAACAGATAAAAATGGAACTGCTCCTTTGGAAGAAGTGGGCTCAGTCTTTCTCCCACCTGGACAGCAGCCTTGAGGGTGTCTAGGGAAAGCTGGTTGAAACACTGCCCTCGACCACACCATGACAGTCTCATGACAGAGCTTGGCTCGATGGCTTTTGGACTGAGTAGACACGGTTAAATTCCAAAAATGATGTCTCTCTGTATCAGAAGGTTGGGCAAGGTATCATTTGTATGGATATCATTTAATTTTAACCAATTTATGAAAGTTTGAGTCACCACCATTGAAAATTTGAAATAATTTTTGTAGCCATAGACATGTGGCCATTTTCATCTACCATTAAACAATCGCACATTTCTTGATCACCTACAATCTGCAGGTAAAATTGTTTCTATTCTGACCCTGTCTCCCAAAAGTATTTTGTTGGTTTTAATTTTCTCAAAGGTTCACAACTTCCCCCTATAGTAAAAAAAAAAAAAATTAGCTCAGTCTACTCAGTCCAAAAGCAAAATAAAAAATCATTTTTTAGTGTTTTTGATGATTATATAGTATGAGTTACTCCCTATATTACTCAAGGGTCTATTTTCATGTCAGTGTATTATTATTATTTTATTTCTCACTGGATATATAGTTTGGGGGGGCTGTCATAGAGCCTCCAATGATAAATGTCACATCTAAATTTGAAAATGGAACCTCAAGCTTATGTTCTTGACTGGTGGCATCCAAGTAGGGTTAAGACATAGCAGCCTTGTGAGACCTGATCATTTAATGGCAAGTCTTCTGCGGCTCTGACTTTCTAAGTCAGGGCTTGAGAGCTTTTCTATATACTGCCAGCATTTATTCAGCACGTAATGTGTTCTGACCCTGGTGCTTGACATAGGACATCACATTTAATCCAGATAACACCACTGTGAAGGTATTTTGTCCATATGAGGAAATAAGTATTGGGAAGGTTAAATAACTCCCTCGAAGCCTGGATTCAAATCCAGGTTATCCTGGGACTGGGCATACTCTCATGTCCTCTAAACATCTGGAATTCTAGGACGTTCTAAAGCAGTTTGCCTGTATACCTCCCAAAGCCTGGTTTGGAATCATCTGACAGTAGTTATAACATCACGTATTTGTAAGAGACAACTTCTTGCTTAAGTTCGAGGGGCTATTGACATACTTTATAATTATTTAAAAACATAATTATTGGGCTTCCCTGGTGGCGCAGTGGTTGAGAGTCCACCTGCCGATGCAGGGGACACAGGTTCGTGCCCCGGTCTGGGAAGATCCCACATGCCGCGGAGCGGCTGGGCCCGTGAGCCATGGCCGCTGAGCCTGTGCGTCCGGAGCCTGTGCTCCGCAGCGGGAGAGGCCACAACAGTGAGAGGCCCGTGTACGGCAAAAAAAATAAATAAATAAATAAAAACATAATTATTTAAAAATGCTTTTGGATTGTATTGGACATTATTCAATACAAATTCTGGTTTCACCAGCTTTTTGCTGTCACATATGCTCTATTTTTAGAAATAACAGTAACAAAAAGCTCAGTATCTTTGTATGTTGTATGTATGAAGCTTCATAGTAGGAGTTTGTTCCTTGTCATTGTTGCTTTACTATTATTTTGGTGGAAAGTTGAAAACAATATGTTTCTTAATTTTGTTTGTATTTCTCTAGGCATGTTCCTTCCTGGTATGTACTTTAACTTTATAAGTAGTTAAATTATTATAATTAGATATGTTATATTAACTAGAAATGGTAAGGACATAACTAGAAAAAAAAATCTAAATGAACTAGTTGGAATTGCTAACAGTTCATGATCCAACCAGTTATAATAGAATAATGCTGCATTCTTCTGTTGATAGGAGTCCAAGTAACAGGAAATTTCTGGATCAGATGCAGCTGTTGTTTATAATATTTTATTTGGCTGACAAATTAAACTTGTTTCTGAATTTCTGTTGCACATTTTGTTCCTGAGATTTAAAAAATTTATGATCCTCTCTGTTAATTACTTCTACTGAGTGTTGGTCCCCATTTTGTTTCACAAATCTGGAAATTTTTTTCTATTGCATTTATAAAACATTTTTAATTGATGAAGGATAAATCAGTTTTAGATACAATTTAAAGTGGATACCCCTGGTTGGACTGTGGATGATTGTACTTCGTTTGTGATGAGTAATTATGCATAAATTTAATTTCAAGCTATGACAATTGATAGTTATAAAACTGGGAATAAACACGTACTCGCTGCAATTCTAAACTTCTGCACTGTACCGGAAGAAAAAGGTAAAATTCTGAAGATATCATTTATCTTGAGTATTGTTTTCATCATTGCTGTTTTTCCTTGAAAAAGACGAATTAAGCAATATAAAGTATTTGTTTTTGCCCAGAAATAGTCCCAAACAAATGATAAGCATATCTACAAGGTTAAAACAACAGGCTTGAAAATTATTTAAAGCAAAAGCAAGATTATTCAATTAAACATGAGGTTAAGTGTTGGACTAACTGTGGCTAAAAAACTACGATACTCTTTTCCAAAATGAGTTATACTGCAGTAAAATAATCAGGGTGGTTCCCACCAGAGCTGAAGCACATTATGGAAAAAGGCTGAAAGCCCGAGTCAATGTTTAAAGCTATGGAGGCTATTTCAGCACAGAGTTAAATTGTAGGATAATTTTATGTATTAGAAAAGTTGATTAAGATGATAGGGAAACCCCAGTATATCTGCTTTTACCTGTGTGGAGTTGTAGCTACAGGTGTATGAGATCAGCTGGCACTGTTACTCGGTAGAACTCCCTTCCACAACATCCCACAGATTAGTCTCTTGACAACCTGTCAGGTAGTGCTGTTTCCTTAGTTGGGATTTTCACTCAAGGCCAAGATGAAGGTGGATCAGAGGCTACGCTGGGCTGGAACCTAGTGGGCCAAAGGAGGTGATGGCAACGAGCAAGTGGAGTATTCTTTGGATTTCAACCCAGAGTAATTGATGGAAGGCAGCACTGCAAGCACGTTGCAGGCAGAGCTGGGTTTCCGCCAGCACCCAACCCACCTTTTGCTTTGCATCTTGTTTTACTTTATTTTGGTCAAGGCACTCAAGGCACTCTTTGTAAGCAGTGTGGTCATGCTATCCACAGAAAGCCTCTTCCCAGCAACCCAGAGATATACATATTATTTATGATCCCATTTTCCAAGTGGAGAAACTGAGGACAGAGAAGGTGAGTGACACAGGTAGTAAATAGGAGATCGCTTGGCTTTGAGTTTAGTGCTCTCTGCACAGGGCTTGCTTGGACTACTCTTATTGTCTGTGAACTTTGAAACAAAGGAGTTACTTGAGTGAGGAAACTCATACTTTCTGTGTACAGTATCTTCCTTGTTGTTTATGAGGCTCCCAGAGCAGGATTTTATGATGGATTTTATGATGGATTTTATGATGGATGGGATTTCTTTATTGCTGGAAGTTGCTGTATATATCCTGTGACATTCTTTATGTCCTAGTAACTTTTGGAGAGTATTTTAAATGTGCAAAGTGATATGCCTGTAGACCTTTGTTTCACAGCTAATGGGGGAGTATGATGCCCCAAAGAAATAGAACTCAGATCTCAGATCTTTAACTCTATCAGAAGTGGTCTAAATGTTGGATTTTGAAAGTTAGATTTAAAAGACTTCATTAATCTATGGTACATTTTCTCCAATCCATAAATAACAGCATTTGCTTCCTCTTTTGGAAATCCTGAGTTTGTAATAAGGAAGAACAAATTTTACTCCACATTGGATCTGTTTCTTTTACTTTAACCTTTTTATTCTATTGCTTTTACAAGTTAATCCCTAAAGGGATGTTGCCTATGAGCTTAAATTATACATAATGGCACATCGCTGGGAACCCTGCCTCTCATGTGATGAAGTTTAAGCTAAAAGACCTTTGTTTAGCTCACAGAAAACATCCTGACTAAGCCCACCTGTGAATGACCGCAGGGAGGAAGAAATTAACATCCCCTCAGAGCCTGACAGGAACCAGAAAATGTTTGACTTTATCCCCTCCCCTTTTAGTATAAAAGAAGCCTGACTCCAGGGAAGGTGGTTCTTTGGGACAGGAATCTACCATCTTCCCGGTCTGCTGGCTTTCCAAATAAAGTTGCTATTCCTTCTCCCAACAACTCATTTCTCCCTTTATTGGCCGGTGGAGCGGCAAGCAGTACGAGCTTAAATTGGGTAACAAATTGAATGTTGTTTTTACTCACTTTCCTTTCATTCCCATCTGAGTCTTGAACTTGGGAACTCCCCCCAAATCTCCCTGATATTCTTTAATGTTATACACTTAATTCTGTGCCCCCATTTTCTCACTGTAAGTACAACTGAAAGCCTGACATATTTGCTAGAATGTTAGGGCCCCATTACAAAAGGGGAGAAACAGCTGTGTGATTTCTTTTACATTATCTGGCTTCACTAAGAAATCATAGTCATCCCTCCCAATCTGAGGGGGGTTGGTTCCAGGACCCAATGCAGATACCGAAATCTGTGGACGCTGCAGCCCCACAGTCCAACCTCTGCATCTGCGGGTTCCTCATCCACGATTCAACCAAAGGTGGATCCTGTATAAGGTTTGCTATCCACGAGGCGGTTGAATTTGCCGGTGTGGAATTCGCAGATAATGCAGGGCATTGCCAACCTTTATTTTATCTAGTTGGATTTTTAAAGACTTTAAGCTTCCTAGTGTGTTGAGGTCACGACCAAATTTTAAAAAGAACTCCGAAGGGAGCCACCCCCTCGGGAGCCACCCCCAAATCACTTACTGAAGCCACCCCTACAATTTGAAACAGTCCGTTTTTCACAAACGCTCCATCCTTTGCTTTGAGAAGCCTCTTAAAGGATTTATCACAGACGCTAGAGAAACTAGTGCAGCCAACATAACCATGTTAGAGTTAGGTCTTAATGCCTTTTGCAGGAAATGTCTGGAAGAGACATTGTGCACGTTTGAGTCCCCTTTAAAGGAGCCCACACCTTGTATCCCACATTCATGCATCAAATGGCACTTTCCACAGACGGAGTGATTAACATGAGCATCCCCGTCGTGCTGCCCGTCTCCGCGGACGATAAGACACGGCTGCAAGGGTGCAGCGAGTTTGTCCTGACACACGGAGGACGGAAGGTGGCTATCTTACGAGACCCTGAATTCTACGAACACAGAAAAGAGGAGCGTTGTTCCCATGTGTGGGGCACAACCTGTGCAAAACACCCCTACATCAAAGTAAGTGGCATAACGTTTGGAAGGTCTTTCTTTCAACTTAGGATAAAAATAATTCTTAATTCCTTCGTGAAGGACTTAGAAAAACGGGGGTTAGATGGAAGAATGCGTTTCTAAGGGAGGTCCTGCAAGCTTTGCCTGGGGAGATGTTTTTAGATAGGGCAAAGAAATGACTTTGTTGGAGGGCTGGTCTAAACGGTCTCTTGAGTCCTCAGATCCTGTGATGGCTGTGACTCCCTCAACTAAATGGGAAACAACTGGACTGGGGAGATAATTTAGTCTAACATCATGAGGGGAGAACCAGAATCATAGCTGTGCTATGCACAAAACCACAGCCAGAGCTTGCAGCCCTGTCCATTTTGAAATTCACAAGGGAAGTCAATTTCTTCCTACAGAATGGATCCAGCTAAGCTCTGGAAAGAGACTGGAAGTTCATGCTCTGTGGCTGTTGTGCGGAGGGGGGGTGGGGGGGTGGGTGACATTGTTTCAATAAACAAAAAGCACAGATAGCAGCAGAGTTTCCGGAGGGAAAATACCGCATTTTCATCAGATTGAAAAATGTGTTCATCTAATTAGGATTATTTTGGAGTCGATCTGCCTAACGGCAAAGTAGACTAAAATTCCTCCGCCTCCTTCACAGCTTCTCATTGTTGTTGGTGATGGGGTGGGATTGCAGGGAGTGGAATTGTTGGGTGTGGTTCATTTCCCATAAAGAAAAATATGTGAAATTGAATGCAAAAGCTAGCCCTTATCTGAGATTAGAGCATTAGGGTTGAAATTTAAAAAGACATATACTAGTGATTCCCTAGCTGGAGTAACTAACTTTCAGAAAGTTCAAAGGTAATAGAGAACCATCTGAGACCCAGGAGACTCTAAAAAGCCTTGTGGTTGGACAAGGCACGTCCTCTCTCTTGTCCTCAGTTTCTTCATTTATAAAAGGAGGGGGCCAGACTCAGTAACTCTGAGATCTCTTCCAGCTCTGTGACTGTACAAAATGGATGTTTGAATAAACCGGTTCAAATCTGTCAGACAAACTTCCCTTTGGTTTGGTTTTGTTTTTTTCAGTTGTGAAATGTTGCACAGTAGGGAGGGCTTTTGCAAGGCCCCTGGTGGAACACAAGAGGTCAGTGGGGGAGCAAAGCAGCTCCTCATTTATTGGACACAACTAGCCACCCTGCAGATAAGCTCAGAGCCATCAGAACATTTTCTCTCCAAGAGGCTGGGAGACAGGCCTTGAAATTACTGGACAATAGCTATTTGAGGAATTGTGTTCTGAGCCTTAATTATATCTTTGTCTCATTCCTTTTCTGATCATAATCCTTTAGGTTTGGGCTCTTATCTGCACTCAGTGACCTAAAGAATAGTGGCCTTTCTTCATGCCAGCTCATATATTTCCACTCTTTGGGCCTAACATCCATGGTTAGCACTAAAAGAAAAAAAAAACAACTAAGGAAGCTCGTAAGCAATTATGTTTATCTTGTCTCGCATCAGGTGCTGGCAGTTGGAGGTCAGAATGTTTTCGATGGCAGGGAGAGTGGGGGTGTGATTTGTGGCCTTGAAAATATAGTCAGGGACTCTGTAGCATTAGGTCATTAGAAGGACTCTGTAAACATTCCTAGTGAGCTAATGGTGAGAAATGGGCCATGGATAACCAGAGAGAAAACCACTCACCCTGTATAAGCTACACTTGGAGCACTGAAGGTGTGTTTATGGGAAAGGAACTGTCTTCACTGGACATTTTTTAGCACCTTGAAAATCACAGTAAAACTTAAACATGTTTTTTTTGGTTTTAGAACCCCAAACCTTCCAACAGTAATTCCTTCCAAAAGTAATTATGGGCCTCCTTGTGTTTCCATGTGGCACTGGGAGTTATATTTGCATGGAAAATGGTCAGAGTCACCGAGGAAACTGTCTACCTCTGTTGCATAGCCCCTCACTGCAGTACCCTGACCTTCCATTCAAATCCTCCCAACCCTCTCTTTCACTAATATGGAACCACGTGACGTGTCACAGATGCGAGCATGAGGAGAGGAGCGGGTGAAACTTGTAAAAATAATGCTTAGTGGAGCCCTGTTGCCTTTCATCCATGGATCTCAAATCTTTTTCAAATGGTAATTATTTCTCACAATGTTCCTGTGAAGCACCTAAGAATCATTACTCCCATTTTACAGATGTAGAAACCAAGAGAACAGAGTATGACTTCCCAATGAAGGATAGGAATGAGAGTTTCTATATCCTTTAGCCCTTCAGTGAAGACCACATCGTTAGTTAGAGCAACCGAATCACCTGGGGAGCTTTAAAAATTACCCATGACCGGGGCTTCCCTGGTGGCGCAGTGGTTGAGAGTCTGCCTGCCGATGCAGGTGTGCCCTGGTCCGGGAAGATCCCACATGCCGCGGAGCGGCTGGGCCCGTGAGCCATGGCCGCTGAGCCTGCGCGTCCGGAGCCTGTGCTACGCAACGGGAGAGGCCACAACAGTAAGAGGCCCGCGTACCGCAAAAAGAAAAAAAAAAAAAAAATTACCCATGACCAGATCTCTACCTCACAGTCTTTGATTTAATTTGCTTGGGCTCAGTTCTGGGTATTGTGGGTTTTGAGGCTCCCTGTGATTTTAATATACTGTGAAGGTTGAGAACCATGGCATTAGATAATTATCTGCAGCTGTTTCTTGTGTGGCTCCACCTGGATATATCCTGCAAGCATCTCGCACTCAACATGGGCAACTTCACCCCAGCCTTGTCCCCCTCCTGTGTCCCCCATCTCCGTGAACAGCTCTGCCATCCAAACAGTGGCCCATGTCCAAAACCTGGATGTCATTCTTTTTTCTTTTCTTTTTTTATCATGAGATCAACAACATTTATTTTCCATAATGAATTTCCTCAGTTTTGAGTGTACATCTCCTGGCATTCTGAAAAAATATATATTTTCTGTGTTACTTTCAAAGTATTATTTTTTAAATTTAAGTATACTTGATTTATAATATTGTGTTAGTTTCAGGTGTACAGCAAAGTGATTCAGTTATACGTGTGTGTGTATTCTTTTCCATTATAGGTTATTACAAGATGTTGAATATAGCTCCCTGTGCTATACAGTAAATCCTTGTCGTTTATCTATTTTATATATAGTAGTGTGTTTCTGTTAATCCCATACTCCTAATTTATCCCTCTCCCCCACTTCCCCTTTGGTAACCATAAGTTCATTTTCTATGTCTGTGAGTCTGTTTCTGTTTTGTAAATAAGTTCATTTGTATTATTTTTTAGATTCCACAAATGAGTGATATCATCTTTGTCTTTCTCTGACTTACTTCACTTAGTATGATAATCTCTGGGTCCATCCATGTTGCTGCAAATGGCATTATTTCTTTTTTAAAAAAATGTTTATTTTATATTGGAGTATAGTCGATGTACAATGTTGTGTTAGTTTCAGGTGTACAGCAAAGTGATTCAGTTATACATATACATGTATCTATTCTTTTTCATATTATTTTCCCATATAGGTTATTACAGAGTATTGAGTAGAGTTCCCTGTGCTATACAGTAGGTCCTTGTTGATTATCTATTTGATATATAGCAGTGTGTATGTGTTAATCCCAATCTCCTAAATTACCCCTCCCCTTGCCACCTTTGCCCTTTGGTAACCATAAGGTTGTTTTCTAAGTCTGTGAGTCTTTCTGTTTTGTGAATAAGTTCATTTGTATCATTTTTTTAAAGATACCACATATAAGTGATATCATATGATACTTGTCTTTCTCTCTCTTACTTCATTCACTTAGTAGGATAATCTCTAGGTCCATCCATGTTGCTGCAAATGGCATTATTTCATTCTTATGACTAATATTCCACTGTACATATATACCACACTGGACATCATTCTTCCTTCTTTCTTCTCCCTTGTCCATTCAATCACCAAGTCCTAACAGTTCTGCCTTCTAGGTATTGCTTGAAGGTGTTCACTTCTGTTGCAACTTGGGCCAGGGCACTTAATTTCTTCCCTGTCTCTTGCCCTACTCCCCTCGAAGCCCCTCTCCAATTCTTCAGCTAGAGTGGACCGTTCAAGCTTTATTTGGGAGCTCACATAAAGCTATGACTTCACCTTACCACCTCTAACCACCACCGCCCAAGATATTCCCCTCCAGCATCTCAGCTGGTCACTATATCATCCTCTGTCACACTTTTGCATGTGCTGGTCCCTCAGCCTAGGACACTGTTCCTTCCACTCCTGCCTCCTCACTTTCTTTGTCACACCTTCCCACCCTCAGCAGCTCCTCTCCTGATGTGCACGTTCCCTCTTCCTCTCTAGGTTATTTCCACTCTTCCTTTCAGCCTGTTCACCATAGCTTTCTTAGTCTCCATCCTAGTGTTTGAGCTCATCCTCTCTTTTGCATTCCTGTTGTCTGTGATTCCAAGCCCCGTTCCTCTTTCACTGCTTCACTAGACTCCCTTAAAGCCTGTTCCTCACACATGTGTCCAGTTCTGCAAACTCTAGCTGTGGTCCCACACCTGCCTTTGGCAGGAGGCTTGGAAGGAAGTGGGTACTTATGGGCCACAAAGCCCTTGGAAATTAGAGCCACTGGACCTCCCTTCCTGATAGCTGGACCACAGTTCTGGGGACAGTTGAGCCACCTTGGGGACAGAGATGCTCTCTGTCCCTCCTGATCCCAGAAATGCCAAAAGCATAGTTTCAGCATTGTTCTCCAGATATATTTTTAGGCTGGATGGTGAATGAAACAGGTTCAATATTGCCTTTGCCAATAGAACAATATAGGGTGGACCCCTTGTGCCCAGAATGAGTTACTGCATGCCCAGGGATTTGGGGTAACTCTTTCAAAATTTTATCTGCAGTTTAAGCAATGAGGAGAAAGTAAATGTCTAGGTATGGGTATTTGACAATATTCTTGTTAAGTGATTTTCCTGAGCACAGAGTTTAGAAGGGGGGCCATGAAAAAACAAGCAAATTCCTTGCAAATCACCCTTTCTCTACCCAAGGTTTCCTTTGTTTCGGGGGCTGTCCTGTGCAATGTAGGATATTGAGAAGCATTCCTGGCCTCTAATCACTAGATGCCAATAACACACCCTTCCCCACTCCAGTTGTGATGGTCACAGTTGTCTTCAGATATTGTCAGGTGTCGCCAGGAGAGGCAAAATCGCCCTCTGTTGAGAACCCTGGCTCTAGCCCAACCTCCCATTCCCTGAAAACCTCTGGAATGCAAGTCATTGTAAACTCCAACATCTGGCCATGACAGGAAATTGAACCAGGGGTATACCATCACCACCTTGATGTCTTCTGAATTGGTGTCATAAATCAATCAGCTTTCTCTCCCCTTTTCTTGCCTCCCTCTTTTCTGCTGCCATTACAGGCTGGCCACACTGTCCTTGGACACTGCAAAAGGCAGTTATGGAATTTGATCAGGCGAATGACTGCACAACTATGATTGACTGAGAAGTAAGACGTTCTGTGATGTTTGTCTCAATGACTGAGAGACACCTGCTCTCAGTCGTGACTTGCGGCACTGCAGCGTCATATGGAACATATTTAAGTTTATAGAAAAAACAAAGGGTTGTCATGTTTTTCTTTGTTCAGGTTGAGATAAGATGAACACATAATGTATAAGTTTCAGATGTACAACATAAAAACCATGGTTAGATGTCACAAAGTAGGTGGCAATGCATTACCCATATGTGTGTTGTCAGGCCTGGGGCTTCTTCCATCCATCCTTGTCAAGGAAAGTGCTAACCCTCTCCTTTCATCAAACACTGTCAGGCTTTTCTTTTTCATTACTTTGACCATTCTTCACACCAGGTTCACACCTAATATTTGTGCAATCCAGGGTAACAATATGAGCTGAAGCCCGATACCATATTTAAAAGTTACTTATCTAACTAATAAACTTAAATATGTTTTACCTTTCTACTTTGGCAATATGCCTTGATCACAATCTGGAAGGCCAGGTTCAAATTTAGCCTTCTCGGTTCTGTTCCAGAACATGGTAGTGTGTGGACAGCTGGCTCTTGGCCTGCAGCCAACCCTTCCTTCTCTTTCTATGCTTGGCCTTGCCCCATGCTGTGGAGGCCCTCTGGGTCTGCCTGTGGGCACCCCAGGCTGAATGTCCCAGGTACATATCTCATGGTGGAGAGTAAATGCAGACTTCAGGTGTGCCTGCCCACCAGGGTTTCCTTGCCCTGACAGAAGGGGCACAATTGAAGACCCAGAGTTGGGCCATCTAAAGTGTGGGACAAAGTATAGATGGTTCTTTCTAAAAGTCTCCATGTTCTGTTCCTTACCCACCCTTCCCTGAAGTCACTTTTTCAACTGAGACTGGGTATCGAAAAGTAGAGTATTTATAGTGACCTCAGTGAAAAATGAGTCTTGTCATCCGTCTATCATCTGTCTATCTACCATCTATCTACTTATTTAGGTAAAAAACATGTAACATAAAATTTACCATCTTATCCATTTTTAAGTGTACTATTCAATTAAGTATATTTACATTGTTGTGAAACAGATCTTCAAAACTTTTTCATCTTGAAAATCTGAAACTCCATACCTATTAAACAACAACTCTTTCCCTTCCCCAGACCCTGGTATCAACCATTCTATTTTCTATGAAGTTGACTACTTTAGATACCCATGTAAGTGGAAAAATACAGTATTTATCTTTTTGTGAATGGCTTTTTCACTTAGCATAATGTCTTCAAGCTTCATCCCCCTTGTAGTCTCTGGCTGGATTTCCTTTGTTGTGAAGGTGAATAATATTCCATTGTATGTATATCATTCACATTCATTGTTCATCCATTCATCTTTCAGTAGATATTTGGGTTGCTTCCACCTTTTAGCTATTGTGAATGGTGCTGCTATGAATATGGTTGTGCAAATCTCTGTGAGACACTGCTTTTAATTCTTTTGGATATATACCCAGAAATTGGATTATTGGATCATGTGGTAGTTGTATTTTTAATTTTTTGAAAAAACTCCATACTGTTGCACCATTTTACAGTCCCACCAACAGTACACAGGGGGTTCTCCACATCCTTGTCCACACTTGTTATTTTCTGTTTTTGATAGTAGCCATACTAATGGGTGTGAGGTTGCATTTCTCCAGTGATGAGTGATGTTGAACATCTTTTCATATCCCTGTTGGGTTGGCCATTTGTACATCATATTTGGAAAAATGTCTGTTAAAGTTGCTGATTTTTAAATTAGGTTATTTAATATTTTATATCAAAGAAGAATATCCACATGATAGAAAAAGGCTATTCAGATACTCTTCCCTTTTCCAACTACCTATCCATAAATATTTCTTTTTTAACATACATTCCTTGAGCATGCACTGAGTGCCTGGCACATTATGTGAATTTTCTTTACATATTTCAGCCAAAATAACATATTGCCACAGAATAAATGCAAAAGTAGATATGAGAATCCAGCTGCCTTCTATTAAGTCAGATAATGGAGAGATTTGCAAACATGTAAAACAATGCCATTTTTCTCTTATGTTTTAGGAAAATATTTTTCAGTAAAAAACAAAATGTTTATGTTAATATTTAATAGACTTATTGTTTTAAGTCAATAAATATTTTTAAGGGAATTAAGTTTTAATTTCTAATACAGAAAATTATAGATATAACCAATATAAACAAAAGCTCTTTGCAGGTCCTCAATAATTTTTAAGAGTAATAAAGGATTTGAGAGGCCAACAAGTTTGATAAATACTGTGCTTGAAATGTTGAAGAACTGAAGGCAGTTCCTCAAGTAAGCCAAGATTGGTTCAGAAGAAGAAAAAATTTTAGATAAAATGGAAAACAGTATTAATCACTAACAGCTTTAATAACGGTCTTTCTAGATGGTGATGGAAAGTGGGGATTGGCTGGTTGGTGGTGACCTTCAGGTGCTGGAGAGAATACGGTGGAATGATGGGTTGGACCAATACCGCCTGACACCTCTGGAGCTCAAACAGAAATGTAAAGAAATGAATGCTGGTACGTAGCCTGGCTCTATGGCATTTGTTAATGCTCCTACCCTCCTCTGCTTACATAATTAAGGATTATCAGGAAACAGCATGTTTATAGTTTTGAAAAGCTGAAAATTTTTATCATCTTCTATTGATATCTGTTGATATAGAAACACCTTATAAAGTTGAACTACTGCAATATTATGCAGTAGTTAAAAATATGCACTGACCCAGAAGGATACCCAAAATATATCTATTAAGTAAAAAAAGCAAACTGCAGAACGGTATGTATAGAATAATTCTGGAAAACAAAATAAAATGTAATAATTGCTTTAAAAACTCAAACCTACTTCTGTGTGTAGCAGAAATCTCTGGCAGCATGTGCACCAGACTGCAGATGGCAGGGGCTACCTCTAGGGGTAAAGCGGGACCAAGGGGAAGGGGAGATTTTCACTTTACATATTTTGAAAAAGAGAGAGAAAAAGTAATGATAGGATGATGGATGATTTTTAAATTCAATTTTGGGCTTTTCTGTATTTTCTAAGTTTTCTATGATGGATATATATTATTTCATAACCAGAAAGAAAAAAAATTAAGGCTCTCAGGAGTTCATCACTAATTGGAGAAGTTTTGAAGACATCCCTAAAGTGAAGGAGAAATATTTTTATATCTTTAAATTGTTAAACTTTTGCACAGACCCCAGAAAATGTTCCTTATCAATATTCACTTCCCAGGGAAATGAGGCTGGAGCAGGGTGCAAGAGGACTGATCAATACTGGCCCCTGCCTGAGCCTTGGTTTGTAGGAAAGGTCCTGGCAACAAATGTGTTCATTTCTGAGTCAGGCTCTCCCTTTAGGGCTTCCTACCTTTGTGTCCTATTCCTGTCTAAGCAGTCTGGCACTGGTTGGTACCTTTGGAGTAACACCCCTAAAGATCCAGGTGGATTCTCCAGCCGGTCCTTAACAGCAAGTGGATGTAACAAGTTCACTGAACAATAGACACAGCTGCACCTTTTCGTTTCTGTTCTTGCAGACAGTGCATGTCTTTGACCTTGGTGTTTCTGCTTTCCTTTCCCAGACGCAGTGTTTGCATTCCAGTTGCGCAATCCTGTCCACAACGGCCATGCTCTGCTGATGCAGGACACCCGCCGCCGGCTCCTGGAGAGAGGCTACAAGCACCCGGTCCTCCTGCTGCACCCCCTGGGGGGCTGGACCAAGGATGATGATGTGCCCCTGGACTGGCGGATGAAGCAGCACACAGCTGTGCTTGAGGAGGAGGTTCTAGATCCCAAATCCACCATCGTGGCCATCTTCCCATCTCCCATGTTGTATGCTGGCCCCACAGAGGTAAGCAGCTCCCTGGGCTGGGCTATGGGACTCAGCATCTAATTTTACTTAGACGAGCCAGTGAGTTTCTGGGATTCTTCTTCATGAGCAGATTCTAAAATCTTCTGGTCTCTTTACTTTATCCAACTTAATTATGTTTCCATATAGTATTTGTGAAAATGCTAGAAACACCAAATCAAACCTGTCATACACTGCCTTTGAGACTGTGGAAGTTGGTATGTGAACGAGGTGTTTAATACAGCTTACCTGGGTTACAGGGCAAGATGTATCTAGCCCAGTATTTCAGCAGTTCCAGTTACTCTTAAGTGATTCACCATGCTCGGTGAGCTATATTAGAAGGGAGAAGATGTCTTTAAAACCTTAATGTCTCCCTTTCATCATAACACACTGAGCCTATCAAACAGAGACTTTCTTTGTCCCACTGCACCACCAGTGTAGTGGATTTCAACAAGTTTACAGGAACTATGATGAACTGAAAAGGTCTCAACCCTTTGGAATGCTCCAAACTGAGTTTAATGAATTAATTCTCTTCAACCAGATCAAAGTTCCAGGCCCCTGTCTGTCTTCCCCATCCTTTATATTTCTATCTGAGCTCTAAAGAGGGCAACTTATTTTGAAATCCCAATGCTGTGTCGAAATGGAATCAATGTCTGCGTATGAAGGTTAATTTGCTCATTACTGACAGTCAGATGGTAAGAGATATTGGAGTTTGTAATTTCCCTTGAACTGTGATTTATTTTGAATAGGGAGGAACTGGAAAGTAAAATCCACATAGTTCTGTGGAACAGTAAGATCTGAGTGTCACTGGTCTGTTAGTCTGGAGAGATTAGGAAATATAAATTCATGGTCTAAGAGGAAGGATTCTTATCTTTAAAGCTCCTATATCCTACCCAATATAACCAAAAAGATGACAAGAGCAGGAGTCTTGGACACCTCACTGATTTCCTTGCAATTATTAGTTGACCCACATTGCTGAATTACTTTTAAAGCAGAATAAAGGGGTGTCTCCATAAACAGGGACCCCACAGGATTGGCCAGTGATGACCAGCATGTCCTTTATGGGATGTTTCCTAGGTCCAATGGCACTGCAGGTCCCGGATGGTTGCAGGGGCCAATTTTTACATTGTGGGCCGGGACCCTGCAGGAATGCCCCACCCTGAGACCAAGAAAGACCTGTATGAACCTACTCATGGGGCCAAGGTCTTGACCATGGCCCCTGGCCTCACCTCTGTGGAAATCATTCCATTCCGAGTGGCTGCCTACAACAAAGCCAAAAAAGCCATGGACTTCTATGATCCAGCAAGGTAGGTTTTCAGAGGAAAATTCTTATTTTTAATTTTTTTGCGTTACACGGGCCTCTCACTGTTGTGGCCTCTCCCGTTGCGGAGCACAGGCTCTGGACGTGTAGGCTCAGCGGCCATGGCTCATGGGCCCAGCCGCTCCGCGGCACGTGGGATCTTCCCAGACTGGGGCATGAACCCACGTCCCCTGCATCGGCAGGCGGACTCTCAACCACTGCGCCACCAGGGAAGCCCCAGAGGAAAATTCTTTAAATCAACATCTGTACAGCTGGAATGATGAGGCAAAATTTTGGAAAGCTCCCCAGTACATCTCCACATGCTCCTAATTGGAATGAGAGTCCCTTGAAAGCTAAGACCTGGTCTTGCACATTTCGTGCCCCCTAAAGTTGTAGCACAGCCCCTTGCATATAGTAGTGGTCCATAAATATTTCTTTTTTAACATACATTCCTTGAGCATGCACTGAGTGCCTGGCACATTATGTGAAAGGAAGTAAACACAGAAAAAGATTTCAAGGAGCATTTATAGAGCACGCACCACGCTCAGAGCTCACACAAGTAGGCAGAGCTAATAGAAGACGCCTTCCATGAACTGAGTAGGTACACAGTATTGAATGGGTAGCTGCCATGATTTCCCTTTCTTCTGCCAGTTCCTTTACTGAAGATTTAGTGAATTGTTTATTTTAGAAGATGCAGCATTTTACAGAAAGAAAAAATGTGGTCTCAGAACCCATCCTACTCCTGGGATCTTTAAGGTAGATGTTATTTACCTATGCTGAGTTCTTTGTTGCCACCCTCTGACAGGCACAATGAGTTTGACTTCATCTCAGGAACTCGTATGAGGAAGCTGGCCCGGGAAGGAGAGAATCCCCCAGATGGCTTCATGGCCCCCAAAGCATGGAAAGTCCTGACAGATTATTACAGGTCCCTGGAGAAGAACAACTAAATGCCCTTCAGCACCAGAGTTTCTTTCTGAAGTGCTCTGTGATTTCTTTTTCTATTTTTGTGATTAGATGCTTTGTATCCAACTGCTTCTCAATGATTGACTGACTTTAAAGTTAATGTTTTATAATGAGGTAAAAATGTCTATAATTTAAAGTCAACATATATATACACACACTCACGTGTGTGTGCGCATATATATAAAGTAAAACTGAAGACCAAACCTTAGCAGGTAAAAGCAATATTATTATTTCAGAATGAAATTAGTTGTATTTTCTACTGCATCTGAGCAGTAGGTCCCAGATTTCGTAAAGCTTTGACCATGTGTCTAGTTTACTTGCCAAAAAGTAAAGCATGTCTCCCAGCTTAAGTCTTGCCAACCTGCATTCTCCCATGTCATATACCAGTAGTAAAGGAAATGAGATGGGCAGCCCCTTCTATACAGCTGACAAAAAAAAAACAAGAAAATCTCACCCCAAATGAGGAGTGGCTCATGTCAAGATTCTTGCTAGTATTTCCCTCGTGCCTGTATCCAGCCTTACTGCCCAGTATCTTAGGTGCTGAACTATGACCTGACTGGAGAAACCAAATGTGTGAAAATGTGAAGTTAATCTCAGAGATCTATGCAACCTAGTTCTGCCACGGAAGTTATATTATCTAATAAGAAAAGAAGTCTTAATAGTTTTCTGTGAATAATGTAACTCCAGTTAAACGGTGTCTTTTAATTAAATAGCATACAGGGCTTTGATGAAAAGATTTGCACCCAGGCCTCAAACAATCTGGCAATGTTGTGGACATTTAATTTTTCTCCTCTTTGCTGTGGTCATTGTGTCTATGGAGAGGCTGCGCCTATTACCTGCAGCGGCATCAGCTGTGACCAAAAACAATTCAGACCATCAGACTAGCGAGCTGCTGGAACCGGACAAAAACGCAGGAAGCTCCAAACTTTTCATCTTACAGGTGATCAAACTAAGACGATGCACAAGCACAGGCTTCATGAACTAATGAGCACTGTAACAAAAGTGCCAAATTGGCATTTTGGAAGTACTGGTGGCACTGAACGAGCACCCAGGCCACTTGACTCCCAGGCTGGTGCTTTGTCTACCCTGTACAACACAGGAGCTGGACCTGGTTTCCCTCAACTGCTTAACAAAACTCCTTGAACAGAGGGCACTCCCTGAACTCCTTGAACAGTGGGCACTTCTTGGATGCTGTAAGGTCCGGAGTTTTCTAAACCCAGCTGATTTTATTGCAGTTGAAAAAAATACTTTCCCAAAGACTCATGCTGTTCTGAAACATTCAACCTCTGATGGCTTTACCTTCTGGGAGGCACTCTTGCACCTTCTGCATAATTCCTTGTTACTAAGGAATATATGAAGAAATAGTACCTTTTGTACATAGGTCTCTCTGGAAGAGACTTAAGACTGGAAAGAGAAAACTGTGATTTTTTTTTCATACTCAGTTTTGTTTTTTTAAATGCTAAACCAAGCTAATGAAAGTTCTTTTGAGAATAAATCACAGTGGCCACAGCAAAGTATGACTATCTTTAATAGCACAGTGCCTATATTCATTTAATCAGAGGTCCTCACTACTGCCTTTTTAAAAAACAGCATATTTATTGAAAACATGAGACAAGATGTAGGTGCCTTAACCAATGTATTTTGTGATTTTTTTAATATATTTAAAACTGCTCTTCTGCTTGAGTACCACTTAGTGCAAATGATTATTTCTATGTACAACTGATGCTTGTCCTTATTTTAATAAATTTCTCAAAATGAAGGCTGAGTCTTTTCCGCATCTCGTATCAAGTGTGCATTGACATCTGTTGGTTGAAGCCCTTGTGACTTTGTATAACTGGAGAGAAACAGCAGCTCTCTTTCAGACCATAATTAAGAGGCTGTTTGTTTACCCTTGTTCCTGTCATCTTTTAAACTGTGCTCTCCATGTGAATGACACATGGTTTCAGCCAAGCACTACAGTTCCTCAGGGACCTCACCCCAGGATTTCAGTGCACTGGGATCTGACAAACTTTAAAAATTTTTCCTAACTTATTGTTCCCTTTTCTTCAAAGTGCCTCCACAGAATTTCACCAGCAGGGTTAGAAGTAGTTGTGCTTCTTCCACACCTCCGCTCACCTCAGCAGTTGCTACTGGTGTAGGCAGAAAGGATACCTGTTTCCACCCACACTTTCAGTGGCCTTCAGACAGGCCTGCAGCTTTGGGGCTTTTTCCCTCCTTCAGTCCCTGCCTCTCTTCTGTCCTGAAGGCTTCATGCAAAGTTTTGTTCCTGTCGTCACTCCAAACAAAACTGGTGTGATAGCCAGCTCAAAGGTGCCACTTGTTACCGCTTCCTCTTTCTCCCCAGATCCTTACTTGCTGGCACCTGGACAAAGTAGAGCAGGGAATGTGTAAGTAGATAAAGATATAAGTGGTGCTGAGGGAGTGCTGAGGGAGTGCAGGGCAGTGTGAAGGGCATATGTAAATCATTCATTCAGATAACGGTGGACTTACAAATCTATCAGCATTTATATCAAGCCACAAGATTCCTTTCCAATCCATCTTCCCTGCAAGAAGAAACAAATCTTAGTGATTTGAGAACAAGTTCATCTTTGTATTTTCCTCATCTTCCTCCTATTAACCTGACTTTTAGGTCTAGCATGGATCTTGAATATACTTTCCTGATGGGTAAGTAATCAGGAAATTAGATGAGCACCAGAGCAATCAACAATGTGTAAAGGTTTGAGAGAACACAGTGCAGCTTTTGCCTTTGAGATTTTGAATGATACAGGTTTCTATTATTTATGTATATCCCACTACCAATAATGCACAAATTATCAAGAATTAACTATATAGATATTTAAAGAATAACCACTAATTTTTTTCTTCTCCCTAGCATTCATTTAATTCTTTGGTCAATATTAGCTATTATTGGGCCACTCATCATACATATTCACCAAATGATTAAAGTGATGTATACAAGCAATTCACTAATACTCCAAGGGTGCCTATTGTTTTTGCTTATACTGTAATTTTATTGAAATTATTACTAAAAATAAATGGATCAATGATGAGCTTGGACATTTTAGTCTGATAAAAACCTAGACAAAATAAAATACTTTTTTACGGGGCTAGGAAAGAGTGATGACGCAAAGAACTCTTGACAAACTGAGAAACAAGCCTTTCGTAGGTAAGTTTTGTAGTTCTTCAATGGCTTATCTTTAGTAACGGAAGTAACCTCCCCTACCCGCCAAGCCATTAGCTTTTCCATAGATTTCCTCATTTGGATTAACTGCAGGAAAGACCAGTCCCAATCAGTAAGAAATCTAAATTATAGAATGTTTTAAAAAGTAATACAGTTTTATTACCTTCAAATACATAAGCGACAAACAGAGGGGCACAGCTTTTTAAATGTCATAACATGTAATTGTTGGCAGCAATAATACATACTTTATTTTGGTAAAGTTCTTATATAGGGTTGGCTTGTTTCAGAAACTCAAACCTGCTCTGCACCTATTTTACTAAAATGTTTGTGAAAGCTCTTACATACTGTAATGTATTAAACACACTTATAGGTAAAGAAAAATCTTGATTATATTTATTGCATAAGCCTGTTTTCCATAAATAGTTCAAAGGTAAACTTCAGCTCAGCACAGGTTTAAAAAATAATGGCCTACTTCCATGTAAACAACTCCAATATTGATCTGGTCTTTTAAACTAGTTAAAAGACTGGTGTCTATAAATGTATTCACCAAGAAGAACCTCCGTTTATGGAAGAAATTAATTCCATCAACCACTAAGGAGGTTGTACCCCAATCCTATCTTCAAATTATAAAAAAATTTATATAAAGTAGCAGATCTTTGGACATTCAAAGTAAACCAACGAAAAAGCTTACAGCTTCAAAAGAGCCCAAGAAACACATTTAATAAAAACACCAAGTACCTGGAAGTGTCTATGACTTTACCTAATGGCATGTTTCATAACTTATGCCTATTAAAACAAGTCCAGGGACCTCCCTGGGGGCACAGTGATTAAGAATCCGCCTGCCAATGCAGGGGACATGGGTTCAATCCCTGGTCTGGGAAGATCCCACATGCCACGGAGCAACTAAGCCTGTGTGCCACAACTACTGAGCCTGCGCTCTAGAGCCCATGTGATGCAACTATTAAGCCCACGTGCCGCAACTACTGAATCCCATGCTCTGCAACTACTGAGCCCCTGTGCTGCAACCACTGAAGCCCGTGTGCCTAGAGCCCATACTCCACAACAAGAGAAGCCTCCACATTGAGAAGGCTGTGCACCGCAACGAAGAGTAGCCTCCACCCGCCGCAACTAGAGAAAGCCTGTGTGCAGCAACGAAGACCCAATGCAGCAAAAAAAAAAAAAAAAAAAAAGGCTCCATTCTTGAAGACTCCAATTTAAAGAAAACAAAAACAAGTCCATTTACCAAGGCTGATACCCATCAGTAGCTAAGAAAGTCACCCAGTTTAGAAGTCCTGATAATCAGGTCAGTATTGCTAAGGCCCCAAAATGTCTATCAACACGGCCACTGTTGCATCAGTGTGCTGTTTAGTGAAAACTGGGATGGGAACTTAAAGCACGTCTATTTCAGCATTTCCATTATTGCACAGATAAGGAAATGGAAGCCCAAAAATGTGAGATGACGACTCCAAGGACGTGATGACCTGCAGACATATTCACTTGCTAGTTTCCAAGGCATTTTCATATGTTTCTTAAAACAATAACAGAAGGTACACATTATGATTTCTATTTACAGATAAGGGAACAGATGCCCACGAAAGTAAAGAGATTTTGCCCAAGGCTACACTGTGCATGCGCTCTCTAGCGCACTCTCTAACATAGAGTTCCACAACTGGGACTGAAACTTATAAAGCTGAAAATGAACTTTACGTGACTTATAATAAATCCCCGCACAACTTCTTCTGCTAGAATGTAGAAGGATGCAAAAGACTTTCACTTCCATATAGTAACAAGAAAAGGCCAGACGAAATAAAAATAATATTTCCCAGGAGACAAGCAAAGAACAGTAGATGCAAGGACTTTTTCATTAACTGACTTCTAGGCAGAAATAAGCCCTTCCGAAATGAGCAGAGAGCCTTGGTACTTTTTTTTATACCAGGGTAGACTCCTGAGAATGGATACAGTGTGTGGAAGAGCAGGCCTCCCTTGGATGGAGAGACTTTGCAGGTAGGTGGAGAATTCAGCCAACACTCAGACAATAGTGATTGAAATCTGGAAACACATTTAAAAACAAACTGCTAGGCTAGACAAGTCCTCTTCCCTGGATTTTTCAGAGAAAATGGCAGAAGAGGGGCTCAAAGTCTTGTGCATTCTCATGGTGACCGGATGCCAGAACCCTGTCAGAACTGAATATAGAGAAGAACCACAAACATCTGAACCTGCACCCAAACCCCTCCCAGCTCAAATACTGCCAAGATCAAAAGGCAACTGCCTGAGAGGGTAGGGGTTGGGCTAAGCCTGGTCTACTCAATCTTGTTAAAGCTACAGCCCAGACTCAGCCTAACTCTTCTCTAAGAGAAACGGCAATGATCAGCCCTTCACGCTAACTGCCTATCAGAGGAATGGGCTTGTACTTCCTGGAAATAAAACAAAAACCCATGTTATACTTCAGTCTCCACTGTTCTGTTTTACACCTACTATCTGTAACAACATAAATTACAAGTTAAAAAGTGATCACCTGGCTGCAGAGCTGGGCATGCCAAGTAGCAATCCATCATCAAGTGGTAAAGCTTATGGGACTGGACCAAACAGTCCCTAAAGGCCTGTCCACACAAACTGTAATGTATATTGCTCATATGTCCAGCATGCCCACCGGAGTCATAATACTGCCCTTGGCAGTACTAGCCTCGTGTGACCAGCTGGTCATTTACCACTTTCTTGTCTAGCCACATTCTCCACAATACTCAATTTTCTTTGGATGAAACCCCACTCTCCTTTTGCAGTTGACCAGTAAATCCAGATACAGTTGGCCCTTGAACAACGGAGGGGTTAGGGGTGCCAACTCTCTTCACAGTCAAAAATCCCCGAATAACTTACAGTCGGCCCTCCGTATCCACAGTTCCCTGTATCCGTGGTTCTGAACCTGCAGATTCAACCAACCACAGACTGTGTAGTACCGTGGTATTTACTACTGAAAAAAGTCTGAGGGTAAGTGGACCAATGCAGTTCAAACCTGTGTCATTCAAGGGTCAAGTGTACTTTTGCTCTCAAACCATTTAAGCCAAAGGAGTTCCTGAAGGGTCATTCTCTCAAAGCTCCAGAACCGCCAGGAGGTGATTTTTGACCTGGCTTTGCACACTTCCAGGATTTTGAATCTTGAATGGGGCAATTTAAAGATAAACATCTGGAGTTCATTTAATCCAGTAGAGGAATGAAAGCAAGATTCTTAAGCAATTCCTGTTAAAAAAACTTCTGGAGCTTTCAGAGTTCCTAACCTGAGTCCAGTTCTTCAGCTTCCCTCTGATCTTAAGAGCTCCTCATATCCTTCAAATAAATCCTTTATTGCTTAGGTCAGCTAGAGTTGATTGCCTGCGATGGAACCCTAACTGGTACTCTTCACAAGGCTATGACTGTGGCCCGGGAGACGATGCTCATCTCCCTCAGACATGTCTGCAAAGGACTTTGTTTACTGGATGATATATTACCATCCCATTTGAGTATCTTGGTCATTCTTAGAATTTCTGGAAGCTATGTATCTTCAGGACAGTGAGGCATACTCCACTGTGTTCTATTCTCAGCTC